CACACACACACACACACACACACACACACACACACACACACACACACACACACACACACACACACACACACACGAACTTCCATCCTCTCTTTCTCCTCTCCCCATCCGCTGTTCCTTTCTGAAGTCCTTTTTTTTTACCATAAGCAGCATTTGGCTGGATGTTCTTGTGGCCACTGCAATGAACCTTCACTTTGCAAACATAGATGGTAATACTTCGCAAGATCACCACAATCAAGGAGAGAGTTCGCATCAAATTGGTGCCTGGCGTTGACTTACACAGAGGACGGGTCATAGCCTCGTAGGTACTACCTCCCAAACTGTTCCGAAACCAGGGGTGCTCTATGGGGCCCGGACAGAGTTACCAGGTCACTGCTAGATCATGGGGCCAAGGAACAATTCCAGCCCATGAGCAGGCTGAACCGATCTAGGCACTATCTCCAAATGGAAGTAGGTGTATAGTATAGGTTCCTCAAGTCGTTTCTCCACCTCAAAAGAGACATACGCTGCAAGCACAGCAATTCAACATTGCCCTAGGCAGCAGAGTGGGTCACCTTTTGGGCCCAGCAGGACAAGAAATGGAAGAACGGTGTGCCAACGCATTCAGCAAGAGGTTTCCCAAAGAAATGCAGGGGAAGTACATCTGCCTTCCACGCAGGACAAATCTCACATTTCCGCTCAAGCCCTAGCACAAAGGTCGCATTCATGCATTGGCTACTGCTACGGCACACAGGGTTTACTAGGAAGGTCAACCTCGGTGATCCAAAACTCAAAAACTAGACAGAGCACAGCTAAGAAGAAAACTAATGTCAGGTGGTTACTTGTGCGTTCATCCTCACTGAAAAAGTATAAGGCATTATGTAAAGGCTTACTCCCTGCTCCAAGAAGACTAAAGAGGCACACGCATGGCCAGTGCCACTACGCCCGCCGTTCCGGAATCAATACCGTCTCAAATCTCTGGACTAAACAAGATGTATCGATGAGCTACGTCACGCATCAGTGAGCTTCAGAGCTAGCAAACACGCACGCGCGCGCGCACACACACACACCAACCCGCCCCCCCAAACACACAAACACGCATCCGCTCTCTGTGCTCCTTCCCGCCCACACTTGAAGCCCCTCCCCTTCCGTCCCTCTTTCGTTGCCCCCCTTCACCCTTACACTCGTTGACTTCCCCCTCTTAAATCGTGCAGTCAAACGACTCTTGATCATTCATATTATGCACGTGCTTGTGTGTGCCATGCGAAGTGCAACCATCTAAAGTCCATAACCAACTTGTAAGAAATCCATCTTAGATTTCTGGCGTTATAGTCCATGAAGTCGGGACAAAGAAGCAAGAAAAATCAGAATGGGTGAATTCGATCTGTTTGGCATTTTACTATTCTGAATCAGTGTGCTAAGTTCAGAACAAATTTTACTTCATATTGATTGATACAGAGAACAGGAGAAATTCTAGTAGCTCTTAGTTTTCGCCAGATATTTATGCTTTTTTCTGTGGAGTTATGTATAGCGAACATGACAAAACACGCACAAACATGCCGGCATGCACGGGCACACAAGATCCAATAACAGATATTGCATGTCAGCAGAAGTTGGTCTCGGCGTTAACCAACGGCTGATGCCATTCCAGTTCTGTGGGTGTCTTTTCACACTATCTGAGGAGAGGGAAATAGAGCATGGTTTATTCGGGTCTAGTGTAGTAGCCCAGTCACCCTTCCTGGTCGGACAGTATTGCCAAAGATTCAGGATAGCGTATGGATGAAGAAACAGAAACAGCTCTCTTCATGCACCAACTACATCTGATTTTAACTTCACCCCCTCTCGCTCTCAAAGTGTATTCCTTCTAATTCTCACTCTCCCAAAAGTGAATGGTCGGTCTCCAAAGGCTCAGTTTTCGTTTTTCTCAGTTTCTTTGGGGTGGGGTGGCGTGGGGTGGGGTGGGGTTGGGGGGGGGTGAGGCAGAGGAAGAGGAACACCGTTTTCGGAATGAAAATTATCTCAAAAGGGCTAGTTGGAATGAGCAGTAGGAGTTTTAGAGCTTCAAGTGAAAAAAAGATCATTCCAGACTGGGAGAAGCTGAAATACCGATTGTAGATGGACAGATTGGAAGATCGCCGAGAAGTAGGTGCATAAACCTGGCCAGCAAGTAAAGATAGGAAGGGAGGAGAATGCGATACTGTACTATTTCTGCTGCAGGGCAGCATCCATAGGTTTGAGTAATGGACTTCATCATGTCACAGTTACACATAATTGGATGCGTATCAAACGCTATGGAAAAGGTGGTGTAGGGTTTAGGGTTTCATGCTACAGCGATAGAGGAGCCTCCGGAACGGCACGGTAGCAGATAAAGCAGTCTCCTTAATTAGGCAAGCGCCAGTGGGGGCAGAGGGTAGTGATAAACATGTCCATTTGAGCGATAGATGCAGCCCTTAACAAAGCCAAAACAAAAACAAGGATAAACCCCTAACTAACGTGACCAGCGGAACAAAACACAGGACAGCATGAAAATGGAAAAAGGTTAAGGACAGAAATAATCCAGTCACGTTTGAGAGGACAGAACTTATCCGGTAAGAATGCAGCTGGGCATCCTCACGTGCGGGCGCATATCATGTACCTGGGCATCATAACGTGCAGGTGCATACCATCATGTACCTGGGCATCCTCACGTGCAGGTGCGTATCATCATGTACATGGGCATCCGCACAATCAGGCGGATTCTGGTCGGACTTTTTTCTGCATCTCCAAATCTGAGCGAGATGCTTATGTACGTAAGTTTCGCGAAGAACAAAGGACAACCATACCATGGATGGTCCAGGATGGATGGCACCAAACATCGGCCTCCGCCATCCGATGTCCCCGTTCCGATCCATTACCCCTTCATGAATTGCGGTCGCAAAGTGGAAGCAAACACACGTCCGCTGGGAAGACGAGTTCAGGACACATATTTTCGCTCCATCTGTCGTTTCTCTCTTCCTTTTTCATAAGAAGTAAAAATCATGGCTATTCTGTTGAGTTTTCCTATTTTAAGTTTGCTATACCATTTTCAATATGCACCAGTAAATTGTTTGACTATAGTAGGAGGAAGTCTAGCTTTAACTCTTATATGTGGTATTCATTCTTGTCTGATTCTTGGATTGAGATCTACAGACTCAGTGGTGGAAAGTCTGAATGGTAAACGGGCGTGTGGTAAGCATCCGATTCTTGGATTGAGATCTACAACCGGTCGAAAAGTGCGTGGAGGAAAGTGGGCGAGCTGGGTTCAGGGCACACAAGTGATGTAACTGTCTTCATCTTCGCTAGTCGTGTTCAGAAGCAAGTGTCGGCCATTGCTTTCCATTCTTCTTTTTCATTTCCAGCTGTGTTGCGGGGACACCGCCCAAGTGGTAAATTTGCCGGCACGGGCAATCATTCGTTCAAATCGCTAGCCTACAGCCGCGTGCTGTACAGGCTGTCATGCACAAGTGACGGCATCGTAGACATTCTCCGTTCTTCATACATAACCTCTCCGTCGCCAATGCAGAACACTAGTGCGCCACAGGACCCCAAAGTGAGTGGTGGCGCACGCCGCACTTTTCGCAAAACGACGTCCATTCGACGTCAAACGCCATGTGAGAAACGTTAGCATTCCCTTGGCGCCAGTCCGACGACGACGCATTACCGCCCGCTCGAGCCGCCAGTGCCTTCCACACCGTGCCAACCCGAAAAACGTGTTTTCCGCCATTCTCACCGGCGAATCGCAGATCTCTTGTAAGAGGGGAAGAGGTCGGCCCTGACGCTGTACATCATCAGGTAATGGTCCACGCAAACACATCCGTGCAAACCGGCGACGGACGCGACTTTTCAAATTTACTTCAGAGGAGCACCTACGACCACTACTCACAGGACCATCCAGGGGAAGGCGGGAGCGGATAAGGCGATGTAGAGGTATAGTTCGCTTGCCAGAGTCTCCGTCCCTAAGTCCTCTCCCTCAAGCCCTGCCCATACACTGAGCCAAGTGCGAGAGCGCAAATTTTCGCGTTGTCAAACCAACTTCAGGTTCTCGAAGGGTTTCCTTCGCATCGTAACTACCCGAGTAAGATCGGAAACAAGCAAGGGGAGCCGAAGGGGGGGAGGGAAAAGGAAAAGAGAACAGAGAAGGGAAAAAAGCAGAAGGAAGAAAATCGGCGAAGCACGGAGCATAAGAAGAGGGGAACCGCACAAAGGGATTCGCCGAAATCGCCGAGAAGCCCAAACTCGTGAAATACTTATTCCCACAAAGCGCACCGAATGACAACATAGTAAAGCGATGCGCTTGTAGCGCACAAAAGAGAAACTGACAAAAAAACTTTTTTAATCAATTTTCAAAGACGGAAAGGATTACTCATAATAAAAGGAAAACTCTGGACAGATACAATTTGGACGGTATACATCCTTCACGCTTCTCGGAGCGCGGACCCGGTGTGTAAGCGCACTGTGCCGAGGGAACCCTCTGCGTAACTCGCCCATCTCTGTCATCATCGATCCGCTTCACTACGGTCATGGAGCGCCAGAGGAGCAAGAAAATATCAGCGAAAGTAGAGGAACGAAGACGGGAGGGCAACAATCACACTGATCGTACATCCGTATAAGGATCTGCCTTTGGATCGGACAGCAGAAAGGAGTCACACTAATCCGCCAAACTCCTAAGGTCTCTCACTTTGTGGTAATTTTCAACTGGGAATTCCCGCATCCAGTCTATCTATCCCATGGCCTTCTTCCGTGTCATTGACTAACAAAGTCCCAAATCTTTCCCTGCCTACTTCTCCAGTCTCTTCTTTCCCCCCTCTCTCCCCCCCCCCCCCCCTCCCGACTTGCCCTGATCCACCAACATCCCACCTTGACCCTCGCCCTTCCCTCCATCCCTATGATAGGCCCAATACTTCACCTTGCGGGTCATCAGAGGCGATGTAGTGTGCCCGATCAAAATCGACCCCGTAACCCTTCCATGATCCATGTAGTTTCCCCGATCAAAATTCGAATCCCTCGAACGAAAAACGTTGGAACGAGGGAAGCAAAAGGCCCCAGTATCAGGGTCGAAAGGAGGATAGCGGGTGAGCTCAGATGGGAACAGGAATGGGGGTGTGGTACACCCTATGCTCGTGGTGGGAGAGCACCGGGAAGGGCGAGTGGTAGAGAAGGTAAAAAGGGGCCATGAACTGTGAATAGGGCGCATACAGAGGAAATAACATAAAATCGTACGCAGAACGCAGAACGCATCACAAGGATGTCTTAGCGCTGTGCGAGTTTCCATTCGTAAGGAGAAACCATGGGAAGTACTTCTTTAAATAGACTATCCTGTCTAGCGGCTGGCCGATTTTGAATTTTGGCCGTGCAAAGCCTTGTCAGTAATGCGTCCACACAAATACCTCAGCGAATGTGTATGGTCGTCTGAGAACGTGTGCTCGCGAGCATAGGCGAGAGTCTCTGAAAGGGTGAGAAGGAGAAGAAAAAACAGCGGGCTTGGGCAGGAGACCTTGAAAGCGAGAGATCAACTTACTCTCACGGCGCCCCATCTCCGATTCGCATTGTCTCGTAAGCCCGTTGTTGACGAAAAACCCTCCATTCGTGCCCGCTGGACGGCTATGGCGAAAGAAACCACAACGTAAGGCGCACTCGCGCTGTTCGCGTGCAAATTGGCAGTCCAAGGGCAACCACTGAAGCGCAGTGAAGGTGCACAGGAACCGATGTGCTGCGAAATTTCGTAATTTGTATACGAAGGCTCCACGCGCCTGCCCAGCATAAACCTCATCCCCCACTTACAGAGGGAAACAACATTGAAATAGGAAGCGAGCAGCCTCGCTCAGTTGGTTAGGCCCGGACCCCACAGGCATGCGGAAAAGCGTAGGTTTTGGCGCGGAGGGCTTTTTCAGACCCCACAGGCCGTCGGGCGTGGCCTGGAAGAACTTCAGCTTCCGTTTCCACTCGCTGTAATGATGCGTAATCCTCCGGGGCACCCCATAATTCCTAAAAAAATAATAATAATAAAAATGGCCGAAGTTACGTGGTAGGTCCCCAAGAGTGCCTCTTCTCCGAAGGAGGCAGCCGGGTGGACGTGAAACAGCGGGGGTGGACGTGAAACGGACATCCGCATGGCCCACGGGCAGAATTTGAAGGGGGGTACTAGAATAACTCTTGGTAGAAATATATACCTGCCTTCGACAAATTACTGGTCTGATGATATAGGGATACTGGGAACTTTGATTGGGTACTGGGTTGAAAAAGAACCCGCCCCTTCTGGACTTTCTCGTCTCTGTCTGAATCCTGGTCCAATGCGGATACTAGAACCTTCCTGCCTCTTTGTTTGGGTACTGGGTTAAAAAGAACCGGCCCGTTCTGGACTTTCCCGTCTCTGTCTGAAGCCTCTCGAACCTTCTATTCCTCAGCGGGGTTGGACATGAAACAGCGGGGGTGGACGTGAAACGGACATCCGCATGGCCCACCGGCAGAATTCGAATGGGGGTACTAGAATAACTCTTGGTAAAAATATATTATAGGGGTACTAGTTGCTTCCTGCCTTTGACAAATTTMTGGTCTGATGATAYAGGGATAYTGGGAACTTTGATTGGGTACTGGGTTGAAAAAGAACCCRCCCCTTYTGGACTTTCTCGKCTMTGTCTGAATCCTGGTCCAATGCGGATACTAGAACCTTCCTGCCTCTTTGTTTGRGTACTRGGTTAAAAAGAWCCGGCCCGTTCTGGACTTTCCCGTCTCTGTCTGAAGCCTCTCGAACCTTCTATTCCTCAGCGGGGTTGGACGTGAAACAGCGGGGGTGGACGTGAAACGGACATCCGCATGGCCCACCGGCAAAATTCGAATGGGGGTACTAGAATAACTCTTGGTAGAAATATATTATAGGGGTACTAGTTGCTTCCTGCCTTTGACAAATTTATGGTCTGATGATATAGGGATACTGGGAACTTTGATTGGGTACTGGGTTGAAAAAGAACCCACCCCTTTTGGACTTTCTCGGCTATGTCTGAATCCTGGTCCAATGCGGATACTAGAACCTTCCTGCCTCTTTGTTTGAGTACTAGGTTAAAAAGAACCGGCCCGTTCTGGACTTTCCCGTCTCTGTATGAAGCCTCTCAAACCTTCTATTCCTTACTCTCACTGTGGGACTATTTTGAAGTCTGGTCTCCGAGTCAGATTTGTTTGTGGAGATTTCACGTTTGACGGTTTCGGGCGCTACTCGTAGCGCTAACGCGCCGCTCGGAGTAGCTGTCGCGGCCAGGTACGGTAACTCCTGAAAACTTTTAGGTTGTTTCCTGCCTTGCTGCCCGCCCGCCATAGCCAGGCTATGTCGGTAAGTGTAACTCGCTGCCTCCACCTCAAAAGTGCAACGATCTCACCGAGATCGGGCGAGATCCTCCAAGGGCAGCCCGATACCGTGCTTTCAGTCTCAGTTCTTGTGGCATCGACCCGCAGTAACATCTTGTCCTCTACTAGTAATCCCCGAGCCCTTACCACACGGTAAAACAGGGATTACCACGTTGGACAAGACTAACTGAAGAACTTCACTCAGACGCAGAACTCTCGGCGAAACTACTGCTTGGAACACACTACGAAGATAATGCTCGAACTAACAACGAAGATACTGTTCCGATTGCAACGTCGGGATATCGCAACGATGGATAACTCTCACTAAGAGTACATTGCGAAGACACTTTCACAGTGGATGACACTCGACTCAGGCATATTTCGAAGACATTCTTGGATCAACCTGCAGAGGTAACATCACTCCTTGGTAACCCCACCCCAACACATCGATCGGATTGCTCATCAAGAACGACACGCTTTATCTCAATTATGGAGGCCTAATTACTTACTATTATTATTATCAATATTTTATTAAATTACTATTACAATTTTTTTTATTATTGCTATTATTATCATTATATTTATTATTTTTACTCTTACTACCAACATTATTATGGATATTATTATTACCATTACTACATATATTAATATCAACAATACGAAGTGTTATCTATATTGTCACTTGGTTTATATTATCAGCCTTAACAATCACTGATATTGTGGCTAGGTACTTCATTCCGCCACGATCTTACTGATAACACCGACCAACAAATTTATCCTTCTCACTACTGACCATTGCCATCATGTATGCCATCGCACTACCATCTGTCGTTGGCCGCTACAACAACCTGACCCTCGATACCTAATCTTAGTAAAATGCAAAAATTTGCGGTAGACTTGAAAACTCTCTCGTCCCCACCCTCCTTACTTCCTCTGTTCTTCTTCCTTCTCTCCGATCTCTGATCTCTCCCCCCCATACCCCAAAACCCCTTCACCACTCCCACAACGCCCCATCCCACACCCAACACACTTCTTCCAATCGCCTTGCATACTGTATCCCTTCACTACCAATACCACTCCTCAGGCCTTCGATATGATAATCCCACCTCACTTTTTGGGCACCGATCCCAATCCCAATTGTGCCTGTTCCACGTTCCCCCCATACACCTCCTCGCCAATCCCTTCGAAATCCCTCTACTACACCCCATGACCCTTCGATCCTCCCCCCCCCCCCTCCCCCCCCGCACGTTATATCACCACATCATATATCAATCCCATCTACGTGTTGTCCGAACACAACCCCTATAACACCTTTCACCCACCTCCTCACCCCACCCCCAAACACAATAAGCAATAATCCGCCTTCTAAACCTCTACCCTCTTAAGCACCCTAACGGGACCACATCACCAAACATCCCGACAGAACCACATCACATCATACCCCTTCACAACAAACAACAATCACCCTACTCACCACCACTAAATACCCCCTCCCCCCATTCCTATAATCTGAATACTCAACACTTGGGACGTCACGTTCAACCATTTCGCTGCCAACCAGAGTAAAACGCACGAACCTGGATACTCTCCACCTTCAATAGTAACGTATCCTCTCACACCACAGACTAATAATACCACCACATAAGACTTAATCTAGACTAACCCCTTACCTTGCTAACACACCTTGCATAGAGACCGCCTCGGCCGTAAACTTCATACCTAGAACATGGAACCTGACCTCCACAATCTGAGGGGGCAGGAACCGGTTCAAGGTCCACCGAAACGGGCCTACACCAAGGAGGAAAAACAATACATTAGTGAGTTACTGGATGCCTGCTTCCACGATGGCATCCTACCATCAAGACTCTACATTGGAAGATCTGAAATTGAAGAAGACTTTGCTAGACCAGATCTGGACAAAGATTTTTTTGCCCAACAAACAGAATGGTTGAGAAACCATGTTGTGAATATCACCTTCCACGGGGGGGCAAGCAACGTACCGAACGATCTGAAAAA